GGGATCCTTCACGTGCTTGGAAGATTCTTTGGTAGCTTTGGTTGATGATGCCATTGTTGCTGAAAGCTTGAGATTTGAGAAAAATGGATTTCTTAAGCGAAAGAGATGAAAAAGTTAAAGAGTATTTGAAAAATGCATAGAGGTAAAAAGTGAAAAAAGAAAGAGGACTGAATTATTTATAGAGGTGAAATTAGAAGCAGTTCTTAAATCAGCATTTATGGTTAAGAAGTGAGTGGGACGTGTGTCTTTCCAGGAGTTCACGATGGGACGATGATAGCTGCAGCCTACCCCACTATCTTTTAGATTCTAGTAAGCGTGATGATTATAAAAGATTCTTGCGTGGGATTGAGAAGACGTTTCAGAAAAGGTGTCATGATCACCCTGACGTCATAATAGTGCTGAGGTATATGAACAGTTTGCATCGTAGAATTGCTTGTGGCGTCGAATCATGTTATCAAAAATGCATTTTTCTTCACATGGTGTCGAAAAGGACATTTTTGGGGGGCAATTTGTTAGCTCATAATTTCGACGCATGGTTTAAGTTAGTGGAATAAACAAGGGAAAGATAATTTCTGGGAAGTTATGGCAGACTTTGACAAGACAGTTTAGTTATGAAAGTCCAGTCGAAGTGGCCCATGTACCAGAAGGAAGGGATTGTTTGGACTTAGAGAAATTCGCTAAGTTTGAAGGTGTAGTTTGATGAATAGGCCACTGACGGTGTCTGCGATTTACAGTTTGAATTTGAATAAAGGAGGGAACTTTGTTCTTATCCAATTCCAAGAGAAGACATGTGGAGTGCATTAAGGAAGTGAAGACATGTCGAGCACCACTTGTCTTATTTTAGGAGAAAGGTCGTTAGAGACAGTTATTTCGATTCAATATAAATAAGATGTCTTAGTGATAGGATCAATGGGGTGTGATCAAGTTTTGTATAATTCACTCAAGTTACTCAAAGCACCCAGTGTGTAGAGAAAAGAGTTATTGAGAAATGTATGTTTGATGAAACACTATTTTCTTAGAGTTTAATCAAATCCAGTTTATTTTTTTGTCCATCAATTTATCTTCTTTATTGTATAAGTTTCTTGACGCATTTTATAGCACTTTGTATTACTTTCTCACAATGTATTTTCTTTTATCGAATTAAAATATTTTTCCAATCATGAATACTGTTGAAGTGTTCATTGTCTCTCAGATTTTAGTTTAAAAAAGCATTAGCACATGTCCTAAGAGTCACTGGTTGATCTTGTAAGTTAACAAATATTTGGAGATCAGTGGTTGTTTACCAATTTTCACGGTAAACAGTAAGGTTCTATGGATGTTTCAAATTACTTCACCATGATGAAGGTCCTTTGGGACGAACTGAAAAACTATCAACCTATTTCCCACTGTAAATGCTCCATTTAGTGTAGCTACAGTGCCATCACTTCTCTGCAGGTGTATCGAGATCAAGATTATGTCATACATTTTCTCAAAGGGCTAAAAAAGTTCAATGCCACTAAATTTTAAATAATGCTCCTGAATCATTTACATGTTATAGACATAGTTTTTTCTATGATCATTCAACAAGAAATATAGTTTTCTCTTTCTATCATTGATACACCTTATACTGATGCTTCAGATCCTACAATTGCATCTGCTTTCTTTATGGTTAATACTTCTTAAAATAAGCCTAAGTGGAAATGAAATGGTCTTCCTAGATACACAAACAGGGTCTACACTCACTGTGGTAGAACAAATCACACGGTTGACACATTGTTACTCATGGATATCCTCCAAGATTCAAGAACAAGGGAATATCACCTCAACCTAGTGTTTATGATGTTTATAGGGCTAATGATATTTCTAGCACACCTTTAACCTTGACATCTAAGTCATCTCCTTCATATGGTAAGCATCATAACCTCTGAGTTTTGGACACTGATGTCATTGGCTATATCACCTATACCCTAACTTCTTTTATCTCTTATCACACCATAGCCCTTATTTCTGTGTTATTACCTAATGGTACTCATGTTATTATTCATATTTATGGCTCTGTCAATATCTCTTCTCACCTTACATTGCATCATGTTTTATATTTACCTCTGATTCCTGCCATATCTTGCGGAACATTATCAACGCAATAATTAATATAGCTAAACTTTTCAAGAGACTTTTTGTCATAGACTCTACACATGTTATAAATTATTCATCTACTTGCAATATCACTTCTACTACAAATTCATTTGTATGACATTATAAACTAGGTCACACTTTTAATACCATATTAACAATATTCACTACTAAAAAAAAGCAATTTAGAGAGAAAAATTTGTGAAGGAAGTAAATCCCTCACTAATTGCGATGAATTAAGGGAGGGAAAATTGTGTACATGATTAATGGGACTTGCGTAAATAATCATTCATAGACATAGTTTTTTCTATGATCATTCAACAAGAAATATAGTATTCTCTTTCTATCATTGATACACCTTATACTGATGCTTCAGATCCTACAGTTGCATCTGCTTTCTTTATGGCTAATACTTCTTAAAATAAGCCTAAGTGGAAATGAAATGGTCTTCCTAGATACACAAACAGGGTCTACACTCATTGTGGTAGAACAAACCACACGGTTGACACATTGTCACTCATGGATATCCTCCAAGATTCAAGAACAAGGGAAAATCACCTCAACCTAGTGTTTATGATGTTTATAAGGCTAATGATATTTCTAGCACGCCTTTAACCTTGATATCTAAGTCATCTCCTTCAGATGGTAAGCACCATAACCTCTGAATTTTGGACATTGATGTCATTGGCTATATCACCTATACCCTCACTTCTTTTATCTCTTATCACATCATAGCCCTTATTTCTGTGTTATTACCTAATGGTACTCATGTTATTACTCATATTTATGGCTCTGTCAATATCTCTTCTCATCTTACATTGCATCATGTTTTATATTTACCTCTGATTCCTGCCATATCTTGAGGAACATTACCAACGCAACAATTAATATAGCTAAACTTTTCAAGAGACTTTATGTCATAGACTCTACACATGTTATAAATTATTCATCTACTTGTAATATCACTTCTACTACAAATTCATTTGTATGACATTATAAACTAGGTCACACTTTTAATACCATATTAACAATATTCACTACTAAAAAAAAGCAATTTAGAGAGAAAAATTTGTGAAGGAAGTAAATCCCTCACTAAATGCGATGAATTTAGGGAGGGAAATTGTGTACATGATTAATGGGACTTGCGTAAATAATCATTCATAGACATAGTTTTTTCTATGATCATTCAACAAGAAATATAGTTTTCTCTTTCTATCATTGATACACCTTATACTGATGCTTCAGATCCTACAGTTGCATCTGCTTTCTTTATGGTTAATACTTCTTAAAATAAGCCTAAGTGGAAATGAAATGGTCTTCCTAGATACACAAACAGGGTCTACACTCACTGTGGTAGAACAAACCACACGGTTAACACATTGTCACTCATGGATATCCTCCAAGATTTAAGAACATGGGAATATCACCTCAACCTAGTGTTTATGATGTTTATAAGGCTAATGATATTTCTAGCACACCTTTAACCTTGACATCTAAGTCATCTCCTTCAGATGGTAAGCACCATAACCTCTGAATTTTGGACACTGATGTCATTGACTATATCACCTATACCCTCACTTCTTTTATCTCTTATCACACCATATCCCTTATTTCTGTGTTATTACCTAATGGTACTCATGTTATTACTCATATTTATGGCTCTGTCAATATCTCTTCTCACCTTACATTGCATCATGTTTTATATTTACCTCTGATTCCTGCCATATCTTGTGGAACATTATCAACGCAATAATTAATATAGCTAAAATTTTCAAGAGACTTTTTGTCATAGACTCTACACATGTTATAAATTATTCATCTACTTGCAATATCACTTCTACTACAAATTCATTTGTATGACATTATAAACTAGGTCACACTTTTAATACCACATTAACAATATTCACTACTAAAAAAAAGCAATTTAGAGAGAAAAATTTGTGAAGGAAGTAAATCCCTCACTAATTGTGATGAATTTAGGGAGGGAAAATTGTGTACATGATTAATGGGACTTGCATAAATATTAATGAAGAAAGTTGTGAGATAATTAATCCATCACAAAAAATCTCTCACAAATTCCGTCACAAATTTAACCCAAGTAAACTTAGTGAGAGAGTTAGAGAAGATATTTATTTTTCACTAATATTTCCTTCACAAATTCCCTCATAAACGTGTTAAATATTTTTGTGAGGAAAATATTCCCTCTCTAATATTTATGCTTAAAGGTTTGAATTTAAATTTCTCCTTATTTACACTATAACTTGAAATTTAAATAAAGAATAATTTTAAAGGTATGAAGAAATCAATATATTACCAAAAATTTGAAATAATTATATATATATATATATATATATATATATATTAAAATTATATTAATTAAATTAAATTAAATTAAATGAGGCAATTATCTCATTTGGAAACATATCTAGGCGGTATAAAATATATGGCAGGGTTACCTGATATTGTAATAATCCTTGATCAGGAAGAAGAATATAAGGCTCTTCAAGAATGTATCACTTTGGGAATTCCAATGATTTGTGTAATCGATACAAATTGTGACCCCGATCTTGCAGATTTGCCGATTCCGGCTAATGATGATACTATGGCTTCCATCATATTCATTCTTAACAAATTAGTTTTTGCAATTTGTGAGGGTCGTTCTAGCTAGATACAAAATTATTAATTAATAATAAGATAAATCCATTTTTAGATTTGGTTGGGCGGTGATAAATTTTTGGAATTGGTTATTATAGCATTACAAAATTGTGTAAAAAGAAATATTTTTGGATTAGTAGGTATTCCAAATGGAAAATCCAAGTAAAATAAGGAAATGGTTGAATCAAAATAATTCCCTTTCAAGTTATCTTTTTTTTATTTTAGAGGGCAATATGAATGTTCTATTATGTTACATCAACACATTAAACAGATTTTATGATACATCTGCTGTGGAAGTAGGTCAACATTTCTATTGGCAAATAGGGGATTTTCAAGTGCATGCTCAAGTACTTATTACCTCTTGGGTTGTAATTGCTATCTTATTAATTTCAACCATTCTAGTTTTTAGAAATCCACAAACTATTCCGACGTCTGGTCAGAATTTCTTTGAATATGTCCTTGAATTCATTCGAGACGTGAGCAAAACTCAGATTGGAGAAGAATATGATCCATGGGTTCCGTTTATTGGAACTCTGTTTCTATTTATTTTTGTTTCGAATTGGTCAGGGGCACTTTTGCCTTGGAAAATTATAAAGTTACCTCATGGAGAGTTAGCTGCACCCACAAATGATATAAATACTACTATTGCATTATCTTTACTTACGTCAGTAGCCTATTTCTATGCGGGTATTTCAAAAAAAGGATTGGCCTATTTTGGTAAATACATCCAACCAACGCCAATCCTTTTACCGATTAACATCTTAGAAGATTTCACAAAACCCTTATCGCTTAGTTTTCGACTTTTCGGAAATATATTAGCGGATGAATTAGTAGTGGTTGTTCTTGTTTCGTTAGTACCTTCAGTAGTTCCTATCCCTGTTATGTTCCTTGGATTATTTACAAGCGGTATTCAAGCTCTTATTTTCGCTACTTTAGCTGCGGCGTATATAGGTGAATCCATGGAAGGGCATCATTGACCAGTTATCTAAATAGGATTTTAGACCGCGACTGGCTCGCGATAATCTACTTAAGGAACATTAATAAAATGAAGGAACATAAATCAAAAAATCCAAAAGAAATTATGAAAAGTTTTCATAACAATCAAAAAGTATAAAGAAAATGAAAACACTTACCAGGAAATTCAACAAAAAATAGAAATTCAATTAAAATAAAGGGTGGGGGGTCGAACTAGGCATATATATAATCTAATTGTTATAAAACAGCTGGGGGATTTCCGAGAATGATTCATTGAATCGAAGATACAATGAATTGGTTTACGATATGGAACAAACACATGTATATGTCATAGTAGATATTCATTAGTTATATATGACTATATATCTCAATTTGTCCTGCTACTACTCTAAATTTAGGTAGGGATTCAAAAAAAAGAGCTCTTCCATCTCTTGGAATTGTGAATGGAATATAAAATGACTGGAAAAATGAAATCAAAAAGAAAAAGAAAGGTTTAAACGAAATGTAAGATAAGACCCCAATTTGTATGTATTCACAAAAAACGACAAGGGTAGAAACGAAAAAAGTCAATATCGAAGTAATTGAGATAATTCAATCCAAATTCTTCAGTTTGAAATTTTGAATTACACTTCGACTAGATATATATATATATATATATATATATATATATATATATATATATATATATATATATATATATATATATATATATATATATATATATATATATATATATATATATATATATATATATATATATATATATATATATATATATATATATATATATATATATATATATATATATATATATGTATATTAAAATTATATTAATTCAATTAAATTAAAAAATGTTATCTTAAACTTTTTTGTTTCCCTCTCACTCATACTAAACCAATTTTAAATTCCCTCTCACTAATTTATCAATTTGGTTTTCCCTCTTTCATTAGTCAATTTTACTTTAATAATTAATAATTATTTTCATTTTACTCAATTGTTTTCTCACGCTAGCTTTTCTTGTTTTCTCTTTTCCATAGTTTTCTCTAAAATTTGTTGTAGTCTCATCCCTTAACCATAGTTTTCAACAAGCCCAACAACCACCATGAACACTCCTTCACTGTAACTTTCCGTTTTTGATCTCGTTATCTCTCACTCAGAAAGCCACCAACAGTTGAAAAAGTAACTCTTGTGCGGTAACTTGGAAAGTTAAAACCCCTTATATTTCTCTTTTAGGATGAATCATTCTGTTTGGAAACTCTCCTCTTTCATCTCACTTCTTTCAAGGTAGCGAATTCATAACCTAATTTCTTCCCATTTTCAATTTTATGATTTCTTTAATTTGATGGGTTTAATGTTTTTGACAGCTTTGGTATACAAAAAGAACAAGAAGAAAGACATTTTTTAGGAATAATGACATTATAGGTATGAATTTATAGATTTATTTCTTTTTAGGCTGTGTTTAGGTGAAAATGTGACTTATAATTTTGGATCCTCTGTATTTGTTTTCCTTCTTGATTGGAGGTTCTATTGTTTTCCTTCTTGATTGGAGGTTATGTTGTTTTCCTTCTTTGAATACCTTAACTCGAGATTTTTCTTAATGGCCATATTAATTCAAGAATGGCCACCATAAATATGTTGAAAGTTACTGCTGTCAAATTCTTTCTACCGGTCAGTTATTCATCTTTGTTGAATAAAAAAATTCATCTAGTCATGACTTAAATAGTTTATATTATAAGTATTTTATTTTTACAATATAATCATTATAAGTATTATATTTTTACAATATAATCATTGAATATGATTAAGATAGTTTATATTTTGCATATATTTATATTTTGTCTATTATGATTTTTTGTGCACCAAGAACATTTTAGTAGAGATAAAATTAAAATTAAAATATATTTGGTTGTAATCTCTTTTCAAAAAGGCTTTTGTTGAATAATTTTCTTATAGATTTTGAAGCATTTTGTTGAATAGTTTTCAAATAGATTTTGAGTTCTACAAAAATTAAACTGAGAGTTAGTTCCATAGTTTATGTTTAATTGGGATAGTCAAGCTGTTTAAGTTAGGATTTTAAACTTCAAAATTTGAGGTCCCAATAGCAACATCATAAACATGATTTTGAGCATTTTTTAAGCATGATGTGAGACGTTGGATCGAACTCTGTTCGCGAGTAATGCGTGTTGTAGTCGAAGTTTGTTCTAACATGCATTAGTAAATATTGCTAGGGTTGTTAGCATGTTGAATTGGGCCTTGCTTGTAAGCCCAGTTGTTTAAGTTAGCTTGTACCCTAAGTTAGCTTGTAATGGATAATTGTTAAAAAGTCCATTAGGTTAGTGTGCTATTTTATTATAAATAGGATGCTAGTTTCTCAATCTTAAGGAAGGAAAAATAGGAAGATAAAATCCTAATTTCAAGGGAGAGATGTTATTTTGTTATGCTTGTATACTTGTAATATTGTTCTAAGAAAAAGGAAAGAATAGCAGTTTAATAACCAATCCTTGTTGTTCCTTATTGTTTTACCTTGTTTTCTTTGTTAACCCTAACCCTTGTGAGTTTCTTGATCATTAAGAAACCGTTTATACTTTGTTTAAAGGTATCCAATTCACAACAAATTGGTGCGGTGAGCGTGGAGAAGATGCCTTAAACAAAGTATGAGATTGAAAAGTTTACCGGAGTGAACGACTTCGGTCTGTGACGCTTGAAGATGAAAGCCCTATTGGTTCAGCAGGGTTGTTTGGAAGCGTTGAAGGGTGAGGCAGCCATGGACACTGTGTTAACGGAAAAAGAAAAGACGGGCATGATCGAGAAAGCCCATAGCGCAATATTGTTTAGCCTGGTGATAAGGTTCTTCGACAGGTATCAAATGAGACTACAGCATCGGGATTATGGGTGAAACTTGAAAGTTTGTACATGACCAAATCTCTGGTGAATCGACTCTACCTGAAGCAAGCTTTATATTCATTCAAGATGAGTGAAGACAAAGTGTTGGCTGAGCAGTTGGATATGTTCAACAGGCTGATTCTTGATCTTGAAAATATTGATGTGAAGATCGATGATGAAGATCAAGCATTGTTGTTGCTGTGTGCTTTGCCCAGAACACATGCTCACTTCAAAGAAACTCTCTTGTATGGAAGGGAGTCTCTGACCTTTGAAGAAGTTCAATCATCCTTGTATTCTAAGGACTTGAACGAACGAAAGGAGCATAAACCTTCGACAAGGATGGTAAGTTCGACAAGAAGAAAGGTAAACATCAACAGAAGTCTTATAGTGGCGAAACATCTAGTATTCGATGTTATCATTGTAAGAAGGAGGGTCACATAAGAAAGGTGTGCCCTGAACGCCTGAAAGATCATGGAGTTAATGGCAATGCAGCCATTGTTCAAGATGACTTCGACTCATCTGATGTTCTTGTGGTTTCAAGTGGCGACTCGAGGAAAGAGTGGATTATGGATTCAGGTTGCACTTGCCACATGACTCCAAACAGAGATTTGTTCGAGGAGCTATGTGATTAAGATGGTGGATCTGTACTGCTAGGAAACAACAAATCTTGCAAAATTGTAGGTATTGGATCTGTGAGATTCAAGCTCCATGATGAGTCAATAAGGTTATTGACTGAAGTCAGGTACGTACCTGACTTGAAGAGAAATTTGATTTCTCTTGGTGAATTCGACAGAAAAGGATACATTTTTCAAGGAGAGAAAAGTATCCTAAGAGTCATGAAGGGGTCGAAGGAAGTCTTGAGAGGCATGAAGAAACAAGGCTTGTATACCCTTGAGGCTGAGGTTGTAAGTGGTTCGACAAATGTTGCATCCACGAAATCTATGTCGAAGACAAAATTATGGCACATGAGATTGGGCCATGTCAGAGAAAGAGGCCTGGTCGAATTGGGGAAGCAGAACCTGCTAGGAGGTGACAAAGTCGAAAAGTTGGAATTTTGTGAATCTTGTGTATTTGGTAAATCCTGTAGGGCGAAGTTTAACAAAGGCAAGCAAAGAACACATGGATCCCTGGATTACATTCATGCTGATCTTTGGGGGCCTGCAAGGAATCCCTCACACTCAGGTGCAAGGTATTTCTATCCATCGTTGATGACTATTCCAGAAAGCTATGGGTATTCATTCAGAAGACGAAGGATGAAACTTTTGAGAATTTCAAAAGTTGGAAGATTCTGGTCGAAACTCAAACTGGCAGAAAGGTTAAGAGGTTGAGAACCGACAGTGGCCTTGAATTCTGCAACGAAGCGTTCAACAGTTACTATGTTGAGTCTGGGATTGCAAGGCATAAGACTATAGTAGGTACTCCTCAACAAAATGGCTTAGATGAGAGATTCAATCGAACAATCCTTGAAATGGTTAGATGCATATTGGTTAGTGTTGGATTGAAGAAGGTGTTTTGGGCGGAAGCTGTTTTGACAGCAGCTTACCTGATAAATAGATGTCCCTCGACTGCCTTGGGAATGAAGACAGCTGAAGAAGTTTGGTCGGGACATCCACCTAGTCTCGACAAACTGAGAGTATTTGGTTGTGTGGCCTATGCTCATATTAGGCAAGACAAGGTCGAACCTAGAGCTCTGAAATGCATGTTCATGGGATACCCTGAAGGAGTCAAAGCTTATAGGTTATGGTGCCTAGAGCCAGGTCACAGGAGGTGTATCACCAGTCGAGATGTAGTTTTCAATGAAGCAGAGATGGCTTTCAAGAAAAATGATGATGCTGACGAAGAGCTGGAACAAGGAGAGATTCCTGTTGAGGTGGAGCATGTTGATGTTGAATTGCTTACCCCAGATGAAGTCGAAGAAGACGCAGAAGATGTTGTCGAAGATGAGGAGACTGATAATGACTACCTGCTAGCAAAAGACAGGTCAAGGAGTGACGTCGAAGAGATACAAGGCAAGATTGGTTGCTAGGGGGTTCACTCAGAAAGAAGGTATCCACTTTAATGATGTGTTCTCTCCTGTTGTGAAGCACATATCCATTCGAATGTTGCTTGCCATGGTGGC